ACCGACATCCATACCGACACCCACACCCACATCCATACCCACACCCACACCCACATCCATACCCACACCCACACCCACATCCATACCCACACCCACACCCACACCCCTTCCGGCGGAGCGATCGGTCTTTCATTCAAAGTATCCATGACCCACTTGTGTGCTTTCGATCTATCAGGAAGTGAAGAACAACATGGCTACCCGTTTACATGCCACAAACCTTGGTTCTTCTGTCTTCTATAACGATGTGTCCTCCTGTGAAGATTTTTCTACAAGGGGTGATGATCACATGGGTCAACTTTTTCGTTGTAGCTGTGTAATCAAGATGAAAAAAAATACGAATCACTTCTTCTAAATGACTTCATTTTATCGAGATCCGTCGATGCTTCACGTGTGGGTGTTCTATTTCTCTTCTGTATCTCTCTCTAGCGTAAGCCATCTTGGCTTTCGTTGTACGTCATTCTTTCCTGTGCACAAGTCTTACTCATGTGTGATGTATTTTATCAGTTACATTGTCTATGTGTTTCCATTGATACATGTAAACACTTCCGAGCGTGACATTTAATACGAGATAAAAATAAAAAAAAAGGAAAGAAGAGGAGAGACGAACGTGGGAACATTAATTCATTTGATCGTCAGTGTGAAGACAGAAGAAGTAAGTGTTGTATTACACTGATGTAACATATAATCACTTCCTTTGGATTGAGCAACAATTTGTAATTTGACATTCATTTCTTAATCTATGCTGTACTATAGTCACTTCCGAGCAAGTGATGACGGCAGATGATGATTGTTATTTTCCTACCTCTCAGCGAGATCAGTAGTCTTTGATTACCGCTCTATATATATTGTTCCCCTTCTCATTACTTCCACATTGAAAACAAGACATGTTCATGTTCTTTTCGTTGCTTGGCACACACATGGCCTGCTTTTGGCAAAGTCTCTGCTGTCTTCTTCTGCTTGTTCAATGTACATGGTCTATAGTACACCCGGACTATGTTTCACGTTTGACTTCATCAACAAATTATTCTACAAGAGTGTCGCCATTGTCTGCTGCCGTACAAGAAACCAATATCATGATCACACGAGAGTACTCATTGCAAATGAATCAAACCATCAAGTATGGATTGCCAAAATGCATACAACAACTGAGTCAGTGTCGTCAAATCGGCATTATAGGAGCAGGTGAGTTGAGAGTTCCGATCTCCTTACAACAGATTAAATAATTTTGACACATAGAAAACGCTTCGGAGTATTTATCTTGTAAATGTCTCGATCTACGATTCTTATTTGACTGAGTAATGAGACGAGCATTATCGATCAGACACTGACAGAACAGCGAAAAAAGTGTTCCGTCTCGTACCACATACTGCTCAGACTGGTTTTTATGCCGTATCGTACTGATTCTGTACCATCTGGGTACGAACTGTTGCACGTATCACACGATTCTTTTTTAAATGCAGTTTCGGTTATGTTAAGGATCCACGAGAGTAGAACTATGAACATTAGATAACTCTGTCAAGAAATAAATATTAATAGCAAACAAATTCAGTACACATGTAATTTAACGAGCTTTTCAAATTATCACTAAATCGGGAGAGAAATCTCGTTTAGATGATAGATATGAAGCTTCTTACACGCTAAACCAGATGTATTCGTTTTTGAAAAAACGTTCTGATTAAGTCTTATCAAACATTTTGATGAATCATCTTAAATAAATAAAAAAGATTTGAAGCTAATATCCAGAGTTTTGGCGTTCTCCCGTGGAGATTTTGAATCAGATGTACGCTTGTTTGGTTAAAAATCAAGACTCAATCAGATCAAATATGTACTTTCACGTAAAACAGATGAGCACAATTGGACCATTTCAAGTCTTAGAGATCTGAGAGAAGACTGAGAATAAGAAAGTTTTACATTTGAAAATGATCTAGACGGTGTGCTAACATTTTCCATTTGGACTTTATTTGTAGGTATCGCCGGCTTATCGTAGTCAGAAGTGAAATGGCACAAATACCGTGTAAATGTTTGTAGATACCATTGCACTTCGAAAAAAGGTAGGAAACTCCTTGGAAGTGTGATCGTCACTTTTTCTCCCGTTTTATCGGTGACAGGTTCGTTTCGATACTATAATAATAACAAAATTTCGACGCTTAGACGGTTGTCGAAATCTGTCCATTGTGAGAAACTGTGACATACGATCTAGTCCAAGGGGGAAACAGCTGATTTGGTGATTTGGTGATTTGAACTTATTTTTGATTTGAAAAGTGATTTGGTGATTTCAGAAGTGATTTATTGATTTGAAAAGTGATTTGCCAGCTCAGCAAATCACTTGCTTATTACTCACAATTACTCATTGATGATCAATGAGTACTCATGACGATCAATGAGTAGTCATGAGTAATCATTGATCATCAATGAGTAATTATGAGTAATTATCAAGAGAAAACAGTTGATTTGGTGATTTGGTGATTTGATGATTTGAAACGTGATTTCAAATCATCAAATCAGCTGTTTCCGCCTTGATCTAGTCAGCTTATTTTACGTTGAGAAACGATTTACACAAGCAGCACCATTTAATTCAAAGCTTTTAGGACGGCTCCAAGAATTAGGCAATGCCAAATGTCACTTACGATAGCATTTATTCTGATTGACTGAAATGCAAAGTGAAAGAAACCAAAGCAACGCTCCATCTTTCTCTTCAGATAGTCGTGCAGTTGGGTGAGTGAATGGAAGAACGAACGAACGTAAAATGCCCATTTTGAGAAACTGTCTTGTATGTATTTCCATACGCCTGTTGATAGTATGTAACTCGAAAGAACATCCTTTTCCAAAGAAAATGACTGAAGTTACTATCTTGACTCCTCGAATTGCAGGTTGCGGTTTTAACAAAACATTGAGATGCAATATTTGTAGGAGAAAGAATGACTCTTTACATTTCCCAAATAGAAGCGAAAACGATTAAACAACGAGATGATCCTATCCAAACTGAATACATCCTTTCTTCACTTTTTAAAAGATGCAAATAGTACTGATAATAGAAACACTACATCTCATCGATTTGCACGTTAGTAGAACAATGGATGCATTTGGATGTCAGAGCAATAATTGCAATGATAAAAAAGGAGACGCGTGTAAAGCGAATACATTTAGGGTGGCAGTCTCGCGCACTCTTTCTTAAAAAGCGTTCAAAAAACAATAGTTGAGCAATTCTATGAGTATTTGAATAACGATCATATAAATATCCTCAGTTCCAGTAATAAATAGTATCAATAATTGTCAAGAGAAACTTAACTGGTTTTCTCATAAATGGGCTTTTCTTTGTTTAATTTTGTGTGTGAAAATCACTGATCATCGTTAGGAGAAGTGGAAGAGTGTAGCGAAGTTTGACTACAAAGAAATCAAAAGAAAAGATTCTGTCTGCGCAAAAAATCCTATGTAAATTCTACACAATTGATCGACTTCTTAGTACCGATTCCATTTTACGCTGTCTCTATCACGTTTTTTATTTACTAATATAGCTGATGCTATCTAAAGGATCATTGCGTCGTTCAGCTTAACACATGTTTATTGGGTACATGGCAAATGGAATAGTTCAATTTGCTCGCTAAATGCTTCAAAACTGATTTCGTTTGAAATCGTGTTCCACACAAAGAGGTTCAAGGAGAATGCTAAAAAATATCGGCTTTTCTTTCAGATTATTTTCTCTTTCATTGACAATACTTTTGTTGTACAAAAATAAAACAAATTGGAGGTCCTATAACCAAGATAATGTCCGCGTCAGAGCCTTTATTTCACAATTTTATCATAAAATGGTGCTCGTTTGTCATCCTTCTGCTATTACTTCTATATTCAATCCTACATATTTTCCATTGGTTGGCACATTGTACAGATTTATTTGGACGCTACTATGCTATATTATTTTATGCCCTAGCAAGAAGATTCAATATTACATATGTACTTCTACCAATGAAAAATTCAACAGACAAGAAGAGAAATGTTTTTGGTTTAATTGGTCGGTATGATCCCTTCATATATTGGAGAATGTGCTTAGATTCATATAGGCTGAATGCCTACGAAGAAGCTATAAGGCAGCATGGACAACTGCAGCAAAAAGCTATCTGGCTAGATATTGGAACTGGTGCCCATATGCCATTGACTCGTTTGTTAATAAAATATGGAGTCGCTGAACGTGTTTATGCAGTTGAAGCAAATCGTGAAGCATATCAGTTTGCGAAAACTCTTCGAGAACATTTACCTAATGAAGAAAAAAGGAAGATTACATTGTCTGGCTGCTACTCAAAAAATGTTGATTGGCATGCGCAAGATCCTCGACCAAATGCAATAATTCACGAAATAGTTGGCTGTATATCTTCAGACGAAGGATGCATTAAAGTAATGCACGATACAATTAGTAATCTCAATGGAGATGTATCTTTATGTATACCCTACAAAATTGGAACATTGTGCATGCCAGTATCACGTCCAAACATATCCCTAGTTTCATCATTTTGCTCACTTCTATTGTCCACATCTATGAGAATAGTTAAAAAAGCCGGCATACAAGGAATGTTTAACCCACCTAAAGACGCTTTTCTTTGTGAAACGTCGCAGTTTATTGAAAACTTCATCTTACAAGATTATGTCAGGAAACCATTAGACAAATGTAGAAGATTCAAAACAAAATTTATTGTGGAAAAAAGTACTGCAAAATGGACCGGCTTTTATTTAGCGCCACATATTTTAACTTCCATAGACAATAGAAATGGAGCCGCTGAAATAGATGGGTTGAAACGAATGACTTGTTGGCCAGTCCGTTACGTTCAAATGTACGATCATCGAAAAGCAATAAATGTAAACCAGGGTGATGAAATACATATTGTATTCGAATCGGATCTAACTGACGAATGTCCGACATACAGATTAGAAGCATGGGCGAATAACGACTATTTACTACGCTCATCTTTTGCTTGGAAAGGACCTGCAATTCATTAGTTACGAACCGAATCAACTAAAAATGTATTAGCCCACCACCGAAAACTTTTTATACTTCTTTTCTGATTACAACATAAATTACTAATCTAACCAGGATTGAAGACAGACGTAAACATGACCGTGCATATTTTGAAAAAGACCGCAAAGGTATCTTCATTGCTAATCTAGAGCCAAACTGCATGACTCAAGTGTCCAATCAGGGACATGCCCAGTAAAGCTACCCAAAAGATCTCTGTAAATTTTCTGACATAGCTTAATCGACTCAGTTTTTGACGCTGTATATGAACCTGGTATCAATGTTTGATTGTGAGCTTTCTGGAGAGACACAACATTCGAAATGAACCTGAATAGAACAGCGATAAATCCAAAAATGTTCGATTTTACCTTTTTGTGATCCATACTATCTCACTCTGAGAACGTTCGTAAACAAAGTCCTGTATACACACTTCGACGCAGAATTGAACGGGCTACATTTTCATACTATCGTATTTTTGAGACTTTGTGAATGACCTAGATATTTGGTCAAAATACTAGAGGATAACATATCTCATCAAAATCACAGTATTTTGATCTTCTTCATCCACCGTGATGTCTGAAAGAAAAGCCTTCTATACAGCTTTTTAGAGCAAAGAGAGCTCTATCAATTGGTATGTGACCTGTTTTCTGCAGTCACGAAATATCGAAGAAAAAATCGAAATACAATGGTGACTCAAGTTTTGTCATTTTTAGAGGTCTCAAATGGGGTGTGATCAGTAAATTGGCTCTAGATGATCAACGGCAAGTTTTCAGACCTTACTATTTTGATTTCGAGTATGGTACGATATGGGTTATCTTTCTATATGACTGAATTCAAAATCTGAAGTTTACCATGTTTTTACAATCTTTGACATTTTCATGGAACGTCTCGTAACATGAATTAATAGTCTCTACTAAAATGAATTTTAGGGTTGAGTGACTGGAATAGTAAAATGAACTGATTTTACCATTATAGCAAAATTCATAAAAGCTAACTCAAAAACACTTTGAGTTAGATTACAATACTTCGTTCGATGCGAATTTTAATGTTCTTTTCAATGATGTATCATAATTTAATGTAATCTTTTTTTTAAAGACCACAAAAAATCAAGGTTTTGAAAGGAAACTGTTATAGCTGCCAGGGCTTGTAATAGTAAAATATACTTAAAGATCGATTTTTCTCTAAATGACGTAGTACATCGTGACGGATACAGTCTGCTCTTTCGATTGATGCTCTTGGTAACAGAATTCGTGCTTGCTGCGTAGAGCAAAGCATGATAAATGTACATGCAGTTATTTTGTTCTTAAAATTTTTTCCGCCAGTAGAAAAATAAAAGTCATTTAGTAAAACATGAGAAAGAATTTTTAAAGCTCCTATATGTGCATGATGGAGCTAGAGGCACCATCTGTCTGTGACAGTCGCCAGTCGGCCTGTTTGTACTGTCCTAGAGAAATATGTAGGAAAACATTCTTATTCCTAAACTTTTTCCGCTGCTTTAGGTAGTGAAACTAAAACAGTTGTACCTCATACTTCTCTCAGCTCTGAACGCGAGCAACTCAGATATTCATATTTGGAATCAGTCCGAGATAGAATCTTTTTGAATCTTGTTTCTAGAGGAAGCACTTAAATGTATTCTCAGCGACCGCGAAAGTGGGGAGCGGGGTGTACCCCCCCCCCCCCGGATAATTGAAAATTCTCTGTTAATACCCAGCAAAACGGAGTAAAAGATTATCGAATTTGGTACTATCTCTGTGAGAATTTTCATTACATCCCCCAATCTTCTGACCCTAGCGTGGCCCCTGACTGTACACGACTCAGTTTTTCATACTGAACACGAATCTACTATCAAATTGCATTTTTGAGTGAATATAAAGGTGACAGACAGGCTATATGTACACCCAATTTCTGCAAAAAGCGAAAAATATGACGAGAGGGCTCAACTTGTGATCCTGGCTATCTCACTTTCTTAGCGTTTTCCTAGAAAGCTCCATATACGCTTCGACGCATAATTTAAAGGGCTACAATTTTATGCTATCGGTTTTTGGGACTCTCTGATTGACCTATACATTTGGCCAAAATATTGGCAAAATCAGTAGCACGTTTTCACATCAAAAGTACAGTATTTTGACTTTTTCAATGTACATTGAGCTCTGAGAGAAAAGCCATGTACACGTTTTGTAGAGCGAAGTGAGCTCTATCGATTGTAGTGGCGCAGCCACCGGGGAGGCTGGGGGCGGAGGCTCAGCCCCCCCACCGGCGATTTTAATCAGTCTGACATATTTACTCTAGTTCGACAAGAACATCCGTCGAGTACGGATTTCGAACGAGAGAGATTCTTGAAAATTAAACTACCCGAGCTTAATCGCCTTCGGCGATGACATCTGAATTCCAAAAACCCTTTAAAAAATGTTCTCACAAAACAAGAAATCACTGGGTTCCTTGCGTAAAAGTCAAGAATCAATAAAATAAAAGACATTAAAAAAAATGTGCCGCCGTCGCCGGCTAGGCTATTTCTCGAGAGCCCAATGCCAGTTGCGACTTTTGAAATAAAACTCAAGAGTTGCTTCATTTTTCAATAATCATCCCTACCGTGGCCGCCTTGGGCGGCGAAATATTGAGAAACATCTGCGAATTGAATAAAAGGAATATTCCGAAATGACTGCAAACCAAACTATAATTCTTTTGGAAGCCTGTCAAAAAATTTCGCCTCACGATAAATTGATTGAGTTTTGTTTTAATTTTACTCGAAGTTCAACATTTACATGGAAATCGGGCAAAAATAGTAAGATTTTCGTGCATTCCTGACGACCGGAAAGAAAACTGACACGAACTCCGATGCTAAAATTTCTTGGTCCTTCAATCTTGGCTAGCTCGGGAGACCTCTGCATAGACATGTTAGCCGCAGATATTCCGCCGCCGTCGAAAATGAAGTGTCGGCGGATCATTTTCCGCCGCCGCCGCCGACCCGGTTTGGCATGAACCTACTTTATTGCCAGAAAATATCTTCTAGTTCTCGTATATCACTGCGACTTTCAACACGTTGTAGGAGCTATACTATTTCATACGAGCCCCCACGACAACAAATATATCTTTGACAAATATTCGAAAGATAATCCCAGGTATCCCAAACAATTTTCCCGCCGCCGAACAATTTGTCGGCTAACATGTTTACCTCTGCATGCAAAATACAAACTGAATTGCTATGATTTTGCAATCTTAAGGATGGACATTGATGGTTAATAGTCTGCTGCCTTCGGTAGCAAGGTTTTGGAGTTTTCTCAACGGCTTAGCCGCTGCTGTAATGAGTCTCTTGAATGTCTAATCTTCTCTTTGTTTGAGCAAGCGTTCTGAGTTACAGCGTCTTCATTGTTAATATCTAGATTATCAATATGACTTCGAGAGAAAGCATTACGAAAGAGAAAGACAATGCCACAGTGTACGATTATCAGAAATAATAAGAGGCGTGAAATAAATTGTATCGTTTTGAAATAATTCTTTGGAGCTTGTTTCATAAGAAAAAAGTTTCAACTCTAATTTCCTTCCGAGCTCAACAGCAGCTTCATTTTATAGCAAGCGGCAGAAGCAGTGCCGCCTTTGGCGGCAAAATTGTATAAACTTCTGAGTTTAATGCAAGAATTTTTTTCTAAAAATTTGTAAGCCAATGTGTTTAGCTTGAAGAATGCAAAAAAAGCTTCGCTGCGCGACAGATCGCTCTGAGAAATTTTTGCATGCATTAACGAATTCTTTCTGGATAAGTCCGATTCTTATATCCAAATACGTGTTGAACTCGGAATCATTTTCGCGAATTTTCAAGCATCATATAAAAATTTGCACTATCATATAGTTTGGATGCAAAAATGCTGACTCATGCAATCCTAATTGTTGCGAACAGCTCTGCTTGTGAATACGTTTGTAAATATAGCAAAATTATGTAACCCTGGGGTCTAAGACAACTGATCATGAACATCTGATCATAAAAAAACGACAACTGATCATAAGGGACAACTGATCTTGAACAGTTGATCATAAAAAATCGTTCGATAATGGATAATTGTCATTTATTTCCAAACAAAAAAGAACAGAGAGAAAAGAAGAGAGATCAATTAGAAATTGAAATTGAAGGCAAGAGGGTATGGCTGTGGCTG